GAAAATGGCCGCGGACCACGTGGAACGGGCGGAAAATGGCCGCGGACCACGTGGCACAAGCAGAAAATGGCTCGTAAGTCGAGGTGAGGTTGTAAGGAGAGGTAAATTTTTTGGGCCGGAGCTGATCGTATCTCGAAAATTTTGTAAGTAGGGGCGTTCGTAAGTAGAGGTACCACTGTAGTTAACATTATGCTTCTCGCCCACCATTGGGGTAACCCCACAGCAAGCAGGGTTGCTGCGATGCAAATAGGCTGGGCTGCGATGGAGAGGTAAGGTGACACCTGTTCCCCCCGGCCGTGGGAGCAAAGGCAGGGAACTGCAGGCGGGGGCTGGATGGCAACCTGTGAAGGGCAGCGTCTGCATTGCCACCAGTGTCCTGGTAGGAGGAGTGTCTTTTCCAGTGGGATTACTGTCTGGCACGTTATTTGCCAAGAGTCCATGAAACACTCCATGGCGATTCCACAGAGGGTCACCTGCAGACTTCCTGTGGGTCTTGGGTTGGGGACCTGCCCTCCTGTTCAGAGCAGAATGTGGGGTGGAAGGGCGGCCTCTGGTGAGCAGCAGCGGGATTCCTGGACTCAGCCTTGGTTTGGGAGGGGAAAGTGGCGTCTAGCCAGTCAGGTAGACAGCCCCTGCCCCCACCCCGCTGACGGAAAGGCGTGCCAACTCTTGGCTACTTCCTCTGCAGCGCCTTGCTAAGAGAGGTCCGTGCATGCAGGAGGTGCTGCTCGCTAGGGGGGAGAGGGGAGGTCTGGAGCCGTCGGGGGGCACGCAAGACATCCTGCCAAGGGAGGGAACAGGAGAGCTGCAGCATCTGTGGGAGGCGCAACCAGCATTTGGCTCTGGCACTGTGTGGCAAGACTGCTCTACAGGTTCTGGAAATGGAAGTGAGCTGTGGGAGGCTGTGGTGTGCAAGGTGCCCTCACCAGAACTTCCCTTGTGGTATGAATGAGAACGTGTGGAGTCGGGGCGGGGGGGGGATGTTCTGAGAGGTGAGGGGGCTGCTGTTGGTGCAGCGGTGTCTGCTGCTGATGTCCCGGCCCTGGAGATGCAGAAGGCTGCTCTCCCACCTCTGTGCAGCAGGGGGCGTTGGTTCTCCATTATGCTCCGGCCCCTCCATCCTGTGCAAACGAGGCAGTGCAAGACGCTGCAGGTCGCCCCGTCGCAGCTCCCGGGTCCTCGTTTTGGCATTAAGGCGTGCAGAGAGCTGCCCCTTTCGGAACAGCTGGAATTGCCCTGAAAGCAACTTCCAGATGTTTTCAGCAGGGACACTGCACTCCGGGGACAGATAGGAGCAGGGCTAGGGCCACCTTGGCAGCTGGAGGGAGTCTGGGGAAAGGCTGGGGAGGGAGAGGCTGTTCAGCAAGGCGCTTGCGATGTGGCTGGCCGTTGCAAACTACACAGGAAGCAAACTTTGCTCGCTCCCAGATGGTACTTTCTGGAAAAACTGGCTTAATTAGCTTGTTTGTTCTCAGAGAAATTAGCATGTGCATTCATTAATGATGATGGCTTCTCAAAGGTGAATATTTCCTGTGGCGGGTCAAGAACCAAGGTGGTGAGCTTCAGATCCTGGGCAGCCCAGCCCCCTCCAGAAATTGCCATCAAATTGTGATTTTTAAAGCAGCCAAAGAAGGAAATTATCCAGTGCGGAACTGGAGAGCAGCAACATTCAGCTTATTAGATTATAACTAACTTCAAACGAAGCGCAGCGTTTCTTCGATCTGCTTTGCGTTTTTATAGAGCCTGGTCCATTGTCTACTGCTCAAAGGCAACCCATCCCAGCGCAGAAGTTGCTTATTCCTGTCCCCAAAGTTCTGTGCTCCCTTTGCACGTTTTAGACCAAACTATAGACTGGTGGAACTGGATGGCTCCTGTAACAGGAGGGAACAGGAGCTCTTGGGCGAGCCTGGAGCAGGACAGCCTGCTGGGCTCCTTGCATTCCTCCTTGGCCTTGTGCTGCGCTGACCCCTGCCGCTTTCACCACCGCCAGGGCGAGGCAGCTTCTCTGGCTCGGCTCCCTGCTGCCTCACGTTCGCTCTGCTTGCTGGTCTGCCTGGCTTTTCTGCAGAGCTCTTGGAGCGTGCTGCGGCGTTACTCCCCTCTCCTGATTCTCATGAGAACTGCCTACATCAGACTCCTTTCGCCCCATTTTACAACTGGGAAAACCGCAGCGACTTGGTGGCTAAAGGGGGGCTGTCAGGCAGGCCTCTGCCTTTGGGCAGAGTGGCTCTCAGCTGCCATACCCTGCTCCAGGCCAGGCCGAATAACACGGAGTGTTTGGTTCCGCAGGGATCCGCGTGCTGGACGGGCCACTCACTGACAGCCTTGAGGCGATCGCTTTCAACAAGCACTATCAGATCAATGACATCTACAGTTGCAGGTCTGCGTGAAGGTGTAGTGCTTGGTGCAGGGATTGATGTGGGCAGCCACAGTTAGTGCCGAGGCTCTGCCTCAGAAATGGGTGCCCGAGGGGGTCTGGCTGCTTGTGAACTGTCATAGAGACATTGGTGGGCCCCCCAGAGCAGCCTCCTTTCTCTCCTGGCTCTTCTTGCTCGCCACTTACTTAGTCAAAGTTCCATTGTCCTCCTGTTTCTGGGGGGTGGAGGGACTGCTGACACTCAGGGCCTTCGCCCCCATGACTTTAAATACTCCTCTGCCCCTTCCTTGCAGCTGGGGCCCAGACGATGATGGCAAAACAGTGGATGGCCCCCACCAGCTTGGAAAGGTATGAAGGAATGAGGCCGTCCAGGGCTCTGCGCCTGCTGCTTGCAGCGAGGCGGAGGGTAGGGGCCCCGGGTGGCCTCGGTGCGCCAGCATCTGCGGAGCCAGGCAGTGCTGAGCTTCTGCAGTCTTCGGTCTTTTCCTGCCAGGGTTTTCAGCCAGCCCAGCTGGGCAGAAGGTGGGGCCGTAGCTTCTGCAGGGGTGGGGCTCGTGTTCCTGCGGCCACCCCCTTGAGCACTCATCTGCCACCTCTCCTCCACAGGCCGCCTTGCAGCACGGCGTGATGGCCGGCCGGCGGGGCTTCGGCAGCATCTTTGTGGTGGCCAGTGGCAACGGAGGTCATCACAATGACAACTGCAACTACGATGGCTACGCCAACTCCATCTACACGGTCACCATTGGTAATGGTTCAGTTAGTGCTGGGGGTCCCCATGCTTTTGCCTCCCCAAGCCAGGTTCCCTCAGCAAAGAAACCCAAGTAGAGTCCAGCTGGGACGTTTCCAGGGGGCAGCACCTCTGGCACCATCTTGGCCCTGAGCTTGGGGAGTGCTGGGGTTGTTGGAGGAGGAAGGCTGTTGGCCTGTTTCCCACGCCCCACTATCATTTGGGGTGCCCTTGCCCAGCTGTGGAGGACGAAGAGGCTGGGGTGCCCCTGTGGCTGTTTGGGGGAGTTGTTTGTGAGATGAGAGGGCAAGGAAAGGACATTTGCATTCTGGCGCCATTCCAGCCGCAGAGCAGTTCCTGGGTCGTCCTCCAAGATTCGGGCCCTGCCTGTCACTGTCCCTGGAGCTGCTTCTGAGCAGGATTAAAGCCCTCTGGGGCCAGCTGGGAGGACCGTTTCCCCCTCCCGTCGTGCCAGCTCCCAAGGCTGGTGCTGAGACAGAGTTCAGGGAAACAGCGTAGGCAAAGTGACCGTCTGCCCTTTGCTGTCACTGGACTGGCAGCGAATGGCCCTTGGCGGGTGGGGAGGAAGCGCGGCGTGCGCTGCGGGGTGGATGCAGAGGGCCCAGGGCAGGAGCTCCGCCTCCTTCACTCTGAGTCGCTAGTCTAGCGCCCAGTATTGCGGCGCAGAACAAAAATGACTCGGTTGTTATTTCTCTGCTAGAGAGAGAGAGAGAGAGCAGGATGTAGAAGGTCTGAGGTTGGGTACGACCAAGCAGAATGTACGTTGTTCGTTTGATCATGAGGGATTGCCGGACTGAAATAAGTAGTGTGTTGGGGTTTGTTTTAATGAGAATGTTAGTTGTCCAAGTGAAAGCCAGGAAGGGACCAGGATGGCTGGCCCGGCCCAGCCCAGCCCCATAGAGAGAGTTCAGCAGGCTTGAAGTAGTCAGTGCCTAGGAGTCATGGTGTCTGTTCAGGGAGAGGCCAGACAACTGTCCATCGGCGGGGGGCATGTTGGGTTCTGCACCAAGTTGGATTCCTTGGCCTTGAAGGTCCCTTCCAGCTGTGGGTTTTTGCAATCATGGAGAGAGAGGCCAGGCTGCTGGCTGCAGGTGAGGCACATGGGCCCTCAGGGGCCACTGCAGTTCAGAGGCTCTGCCCCATGCCAAGACAAGCCTGGCTGGCAGCACTGGTCCCCCGGGAAAGGGCCCTATCGAGCCCCAGCCAATGGGATGCCAAGGAAAAGTTGGTTCCTGCAGTCCTGAGGAAGCGCCTGCCCCATCACTGGGTCTCTTGCGGTCTGCTCCTCAGGCGCCGTGGATGAGATGGGCTACAAGCCGTTCTACGCAGAGGAGTGCGCCTCCATGCTGGCCGTGACCTTCAGCGGGGGCGACAAATTGATGAGAAGCATCGTGAGTAGAACCCCCCCCCACCCAACATCCATGTACCCCTTCTCAGTGCTGGCCTGACTTTGTCTCCCTTTAAATCTCCAGGAGCATTTCCCAAGTGTCCAGACAGGCAGAGTTAAAGTGCTTGCTCCTTTCTTCCAGAGGTCTCGCTTATACCTTCCCTCCCGCCGTCCATGGGCAGAGAACATCCCTGCTGAGCCCCCCGGGTGCCAAGCGCTGCTCCCTGCCGCGTGGAGACCAGGCCCCGAGGATCTTGCCCTCTTCTTTACACAAAGGCCGTGGCACTGCAAGCCTTGGAGCCTCCTTTAGGCCCCCCCTTTTCCAGAGGACGTTGAGGAAAGAGGTCCCTCTGCTTCTGGGGGCCTTTGAGGCTGCGTCTTCTGTTGCAGCAACTGCAGCTTTTTGCGCGGGCAGCTCTTTGTCCTCTCCTTTGCTGCTACCTCAGCATGTTGTATGGCTTCCGTAAGACTCTCTGCTCTGGGGGATGCTGAGCCCCTAATATTTGAATCAGAGGGGAGGCCAACTGGGCCAAGTGCAGAGAGCCACAGAGCCAGCAGGAGGACAGGGCCATCCTCCCTGCCCGCAGGAGGGCACCCAGGGGGGAGGGTAACAAGGCCAGGGCTCCCGCTGCCTGCCTGCTTGAGGGCTTCTCCACGCATCTCTCCAGTCCCGGCAGAAATCTTCCTAGGCCAATGAACCGACCTGGGAAGTCTTGGTTTTTCTGCCAGACTTCCCAGGGTGTCAATGTTCCTGCATTTCCTTAATGGGAAGTATTTTGCCGAGCTTTTTGGCACCCGCTGGTGTTTCCTGCCAGAGCAAATGCTTGTTTGAAGATGGATTTCCAGGATCCAAGTAGAAATTGTGGCTGTTAGCAGCTGACAAAACAGCAAAACCTCAGTTAGGTAAGCCCTCTTGGCAAGCTGTATCCTGTGGCAGCAAGCGGGCAAACACAAAGGATCAAAAGTGGACCAATCAGAGGATGAGGCCATTGAGTCACTTCCCACTGCGATAAAACGTCCTTCCAAAACTCACGAAGCTGTGGTGACAGGCTGCCTTCCTCTGCCTTCAGGCTACCTCCCACAGCAGCCCTCCCCGCCACCCCCTGCCAGCCCCACATCAGCATGACCAAGCCAGGAGGGAGACACTGGGAGCAGGGGGCAGCAGGATGGGGCGCCGACTTACAATCACCTTCTAATGCCAGCAGAACCGGTGTGACGTTCAGCCCTTCCCTTTCTCCAGACGATGATGGCTGGTGTTTCATTGAGGGGTCAACCAGTTCCCCCTTTTCCATTCTGGTCACCTGGGTGGAACAGCCCTTGGACTGTCTTTCTGCCTCAAAAGCGAGTGAGCGCCTTGGAGGTGCCAAAGCTAAAACTCGGCCCTGAGTCCAGCAGGCTCTTCCTCCTCATGATTCTCCTGAGGGCTGGAAGAGGCAAGGAGTTCCTGATCGTTCACAAAGCTGGCAGCCCTCTTGCAGTCAGGCCAGGGAGGAAGGAAGGAGGCCCCACACAGAGGCCCCAGAAAAGGAAGACCGTGCTCACAACTCGCATATCATGGCAGCTGGGGGTAGAAGGGGACTCTGCAGGTGGAGTTATGCTCTTTGCTGGGTCAGGCAAAGTTGCACCAGGGTTTGGCTGTTGGATAACAGGAAACCTGGTTACACGTCCAGGTCCTCAGTAGCCGAAAGTCTTAGTCCCGATCGGAAGCAACCCAGAGCCCATGCCAGCAAGGAGGCCTTGACCCCAGGACTTGTCTCGCATAGGGGCCCGGTGTGGGGTAGAGGGGCCAGGAGCCCTACCCTCTTCCAAAGGCCAAGGGCTCTCCTTTGCCCAGGCTTGTGAGCCTGGCTGGAGCTCCCCCTCCTGACTTGGGGGTCTGGTGTCCCCTCGGGATAGACCGCTGCATCCTGCAGAACCTCTTCCTAACCAGCCCCTTTTGGCTGCGTGTTCCTTTTGCTCTGCAGGCAACAACAGACTGGGATTTGCAGAGGGGGACGGGCTGCACAGAAGGGCACACAGGCACCTCTGCCGCGGCCCCCTTGGCTGCTGGCCTGATTGCTCTCATGCTGCAGGTGCGTCCCTGCCTCACCTGGAGGGATGTCCAGCACATCATAGTCTTCACAGCCACCAAGGTGAGCCAAACACCCAGGCCCCCTCGTTGTCACCCACCACAGACGCCCCCCGCCTGCCTGTTTGCGCCTGCACTGGCTGTCTTCCATTGCCCAGAGCCTCCCTTGCCTCCTTGGCACTCAGTCTGCAAGGCGGGGTGCTGGAGGCCTTCTCATGGGGGCGAGCGAGGGTGCCCCACAGCTTCAGTTCTGGGCTGCCTCAGAGGGGGATCTGTCCTCTTCCTCTGAACTGCCTGAGGCCACGCTAGTCGTTGAAGTGCCCTGGGAGCCGGGAGCCCACCTTGATGCCCAGTGCTGCCTCTTTGCATGGCCCAGGCTGCTTCTCCCTCCTGCCCTGCCACCCTGGGGTGGTGCCCTGCATGCCTTCCCAACCCATGCGAGGCAGGAGCCCCAGCTAGCGCGGAAGGCCCTTCCATCCTGGGCTGTGACCTTGCCTTGGCCAGACCAGTTCTCCCCGCTGCCTTCTCCCACAGTATGAAGACCATCGTGCCCGGTGGGACACCAACCGGGCTGGGCTGAGTCACAGTCACCAGCACGGGTTTGGACTGCTGAACGCTTGGCGGTTGGTTAATGCGGCCAAGGTACGCCCCTGCCTCTGCTGGGCTTCGGGGCCACGTCTGGGCGTGGGGGCTCAGTTTCGGAAGGGGGAGATGAACAGACCTCTCCTTCGGTCTGGTTTGAGCCCTCCCCGGGAAAAGGGTGCAGGACTCCCTCCCTGAAACTGCAGCTGTCAGCAGGGGGCTTGGCGTCCCTGGCGGGGAAGGTAGCCCCACCCTTCAGGTGCCCACATCGTCATCCCAGCCTGAAAAACGGGCAGATGTTTTCCTGGGCAGCCATGCTGGTGGCGCTGCTTTATTCTGGGCCTGAGGGCTGGCCTGTCAGGGCTGGGGAGGTGAGGGCCAGTAGCGCAGGAAACCCAAAGCCCCTCTCGTTCCCCCGGCAGGTCTGGGAGTCCGTCCCTTACTTGGCCTCCTACGTCAGCCCCCTTTTGAAGGAGAGCAGAGCCATTCCCCTGGACCCGGGGCAGTTGGAAGCCACGTGGAACGGTCAGTGCACTTCCTCCATTGGGGGACAGGGAGAGGGCTGCTTCCTCTGGGAATCGGGCCGTGCCCCACCAGTTTCATCAGGAGGAGCCTGGTGTGAGGAGGAGCCAGCCTCTGCCTGCAGCACTGGAGGGGCAGGGGCTGGGGGGGCACGCAGAAGCAGGATGGGGGCATCTGAGGCAGCTGCCCTTCCCTCGAAGCAGGCTTAGGGAGCAAGGTGGCCAGCTGGGGGAGGACAGGGCGAAGAAGCGCTGCAGGAGAGCGAGGCAGCTGGAGCGGAGCTGCTTAGCCCTGGCAGCGTGGGTGGCGAGTGCCAGACCTGCAGCTTGCTCTCTCCATTTTAGGCGAAGCTGCAGCTTCTGTTGGGCCAGAGGTTGAGCCAAGGAGGGGAGCTGGCAGACTCCCCGTCCGGTGGGCTCCCTGCCTGCCTGGCTCTGAGGAAGTGGCTCCCGTCTACAGTTGCCTTGGCAGCTGGGTGGCGCCAGAGGTGCCCGGGAGCCCAGTGGCCTCTCCGGGCAAAGAGCTTTGATCACAGCCCAGGGCAGTCAGTCATGAGGGGGACAGGCTGGAAGGGAGAGGCCCCTGGGAAGCCTGTGAAGGGGCTGGGGCAGAGGAGCCCGGTGGGATGGCCCAGGTCACAGTGGAATTGGCTGGCCGGCCAGCCCTCTGCTTGCCCCAGCTCCCCTCAGCCTGGGTTGGGTGCCTGGCTCCCCTCTGCCTGTAGTCTCAGGGGGAGCAGGAGAGGCCCATGGGAGGACTGTCCAGATGGGCAGAGCTTGTTCCCAGCTTCCGCACGGGCCTTGCTGTCCAGGGGGAGACTTTCCCCTATAAGGAATTATCTGAAGCAGAACGTACCGGAACAACAGACGCGGGGCTGGGAAATGCCAAATCTTGGAGAGGAATTCAGGGTCAGGCCCTGTGTGGGGAGGAGCTCCAACTGGTTGCTGGGGCAGGGAGTGGATGCTCCAAGCTTCAGTGCTGCAGAATAGAACCCCCCTGCCCCCCGGCAACCTCCTCCGCCAGGAGAAAATCCCACCCTGTCTGTTGGCTCTTAGCAAGATTCAGCCAGAGATCTGCCCTGACTTGGTTACTGGTGATGCTTCCCTGGAGCTAATTGCTGCTCCTGCAACCGTTGTGACTCCTCAGTTGTGGGGGGTTTGTGTGCCTAGAAGTCTACTGCATTGAGGGCCAGGAGCTGGAGGTGCCAGGGGCCCTCTCTCCTGACACCCCTTGAGGAGGGTCTGCAAAGGGATGGGTGGAGCAAAGGCCTGGTGTTCCTGCCAGCTGTCAGGGAGTGAGCTTGGATCAGCCAGGGCTGCTGTGGTCAGAAGGCTGCAAACATTGTGGAAGGGAACACTCCTTGTCCCATTTCCCAGCAGCCGGTATTCCAGATTCCTCAGCGAGCAAAAGCTGCCAAGACGTCAGCCACTGGATCGTCCGTGAATGTATCCCGTCCCCTTTTAAAAGCGCCTCGACTGGGGGCTTTCACGGTGTCTGTGGCAGTGCTCCAAGTTGCGTGAAGAGAAACATGCATTGTAAATGCTGCCTGCGTTTGCAGGATGCAAAGATGATATTGCTGGGTTTCGGAGAGAGCAAATGGCTCTCTTGCACCCTGAGCAAGTGCCCCAGAGCCTTTGGAAGGCCTCTCAGTGGGGAGATCTTTCCAGACACACCATTTGGGACCTGGCTTCTCTCTCCCCCCACACCTCCAACCCCTCAGTCACAGAAGCTGACCTGGAGCTGTCAGGGTTGAAGACACTGGAGCACGTGGCAGTGACTGTGAGCATCACCCACCCTCGCCGTGGCAATCTGGAGATCCGCCTCCTCTGCCCCAGCGGCATGGATTCCCTGATTGGGACGGCACGCAGCATGGACTCGTGAGTGTGCTGCTGCTCAGAGGCGGGCAGCGAAAGGGAAGGCAGGTCCCCTCCGGCCTTGAGGGCCCAGGCACGCTGAAATGGGGGCAGGACGATCCCCTCAGCCACTGGGGAGGGGTATCTTACCTGGTCCAGGCAGCTGGCCTGCGTGGGGAGTTGCTGGTCCTGCTGGGCATTCAGAGGCCCACGGGAGTGTTGCAAAAACACTCTTGCCAGTGGGGGGCAGGGGCCAAGGAGAGAAGTCCCCTCCATCTTTCCACAGGGGCTGAGGATCTTCCTGTCTCCTCCCTTACAGAGATCCCACTGGCTTTGTGGATTGGACATTCTCGACTGTGCGCTGTTGGGGCGAGGAGGCCCAGGGCACCTACCGGCTCACGATTCACGACATTGGTGAGTTTCCTGTCCCTCAGCTTGTGCAGTGGGGAAGCAATCTACTCCCCCCCCGTCCTTTGTGACCCTCTTCTTCCTCAGGGGATGAGATGCTGAGAGCAGGCAGGCTGGATCAGTGGCAGCTGACCCTCTATGGCTCATCGTGGACCCCTACCCAGATCCAGGAGCGGCAGAGGTGAGAGGGACAGACTGGAACCTGTGCCAGTACTGTCTTGCAGGGGCGTTCTACCCTCCCCCCAGGCTCTCCAGCAGGAAGACTTCTCAGCAGCCGTGCCCACAGGAGACTCCCTCACTATTCTAGGGACAGCTTCCAAAAGCCTCCCCTTTGCCTGAGGCCTCCAAAGGCTGCTTGGAGGAGACCAAGGTGTGCTGAGCTGGCGAGACTTGTGGGGGGGGAGCGTGCAGCGTGAAAGCCGCTCACCTGGAAAAGCAGGAGGTGCTCGATCCTGCGGCTCCCCCAGGCCCACCACCAGCTTTGCAAAGCCTGGGCCAACCTGGTCCCTGATTTGCGCGGGGGGCAGGGAGTCCTTGGCAGTGGCCAGAACCGTGCTTTGCGCTTCGGCATCTCCATCTTCCACTAGCAGTGTGCGATTTGGCTTCTCTGTATGCTCCACTTTGAGAACAGGGGCCCCTCCCTTGGGGCTGCTAGGGGAGTAGGCAGAGGACCTGCGTTGTCCCTGCAGTGACCGGCAAGGCCTTCTCCCCCTGCAGGCTGCTGGAGAAGGCAATGAACGGCCAGTTCCTGAACAAGGACTTTGTCTTGCCTTGCCCCCCGGGCCTCCGGATCCCTGAGCAGGAGCCCTATGCCATCACTGCCAACACCCTCAAGGTGAGCCCCTCCTCGCAGGCATGGCTGGGTGGGGTGATGGGAGATGTGGTGGGGCTGAGGGGAGGCGCCCACAGGGGTCCAGTGGGGAGGGCTAGAGAAGGAAACCCCTGGGCAGAGGGCAGAGCGTGTCCAACTTTGGGGAGGGTCTTGATCCCAACCAGGGGCTGGGAGTGCCAGGTGGCGCTGCCCATTTGGGAGAGGGTCCATGTGCCTTGTCTAAGCCTTCTGCTGCTTCCTTCCACAGACCCTGATGCTGCTCGGCTCCTTTGCTGTCTTCTGGACCTTCTATTACATGCTTGAAGTGTTCCTGATGTGCAACAACGTGGCCTTTGACCTCCCAGCCCGCAGCCGCCGGGCCGCGAAGAGCCTGGAAGATGGAGCTGCCATGGAGGACGCTGTACCCTTGTGCAAGGAAGTGAAGGCCGAGATCGGAGCTGAGCAGCTGCCCCTGGGCCTGCGAGGCCTAGAGGAGGGCTGGGGATCTCAAGGCCCACACTGGGGAGAGGATTGCTGAACCTCCTGGAGCAGGAGCAGTCTACCTCAGCCGTGGCTTGCTGAACACGCTAGTGATGCCTGCCCCTGCTTTCTGGTCCTCTCAGCTGTGCCCGTCCCCTCTTCCCCCCTGCATCCGGCCAGAGTTAATTCCTGGGTCTAAGCTGGCCAGCACAGGGGCAAAAGGACCTGTCTGGCTGGAGGAGCGGCGGGTCTGGCCTGGAGGCACAGAGGAGAGGGGCTTCTGCTGACCTGCATGGGGCTGTGGCCATGAACTGGTCTGTGGAGCACCTTGGTGCTCTGCTTCTCGCCCACGCTGCCTGGCAGGCCTGGTTCTGCCAACCCATTGCCTTATCTTGCTGTCTCCTCCCAGCTGGCTGTGCCTCCTGCCTGGAACCCAGTCCCAGATTTTGCCACGGCTACTGTGCTTGCCTTGCCTGAGGGGCTGGGGGAGCACCGCTGGCTCCCACTGTGGCCAGGGTGGGAGCCCTGCTCCGAGGACACTGGATTGGTTCTTCCACTGGGATTGCTGTGACCCCCTCCGTGGGCCTTTCTGGGATGTGGCTTTCTCTCCCAAAGTCATCCTCCAGCTTGGAGGACGTGTTTGATTTTTCTGGTTTTGGATCAGCAGCAATCAGAATTGTTCTTTTGCACTTTTCCAGAATAAACCCATTAAAATCCACGGCTGCTGCTCCCTCTGCGCCGCCTGCGCCACTGGGCTCTGAGCTGGGGGAGCATCCCTGGTCCTCTCTGCTCATTCACCCACTGCCCCGAAAGGCGATCTGTTCTGCAGGTGGAAAGGTAGAGCTCCCGTCTGCCTAGCCTGGCTGCTGCCTCACAAGTGAGAAATCTGGCCCTGGGGCCACAGAAACCCTTCTTCTTTGGGGCGTCTCTGGCCTGACTCCTGGCTGCTCTCTCGCCCCCCAGAACTGTCCAAATTAGGGTGTTAGGGCTGGCCCTCAGCCTGGCCGAGTCAGTTCCTCCTGCAGAGGAACCCAACTGAGTGGCGTGGGGGCGGCGGCCTTTGACCTATCCTTCCATGTTCTTCTGCTCCAGCTGTTCTGCTGGCCAAAGCTTTTCCTAGCATTATAGCAGCCGCAGAGTAGAAGAAACTCAAATCGTAGCCAAGGAACCTAAAAGATTCATAGTTTTTAATCTGATGAACCAAAAAAAATACAAAAGAGTAGCCTCCGTTCTGCACTCTTGGAGGGTTGCCCTTTTCTGGGGCAATTTCAGCCAAGTTCGATTCTGCAGCTGGGAGAAGGCTTCCAGCAGCACCAGGATGCGTGAGGTGGCCAAAGCAGGCCGGGCTGTGTGGGGGGCAAGCGGGGAGCATGCAGAGGCCTGTGGCCGGCTGTTGCTATGCAGCAGCAGCAGGAGTCCTTGGGTGTGGGGCCCCTTCTGGGACCTGCTGGGGGGGCATGGCGGGAGGTTCCCTGTGGAGTACCCATTGCAGCCTGGCACTGGTGGCGGCAGCAGCAGGGGCACAGAGTTGCTGGGCTGCTAGCAAGAGCGGGAAGGTTGGCCGGGAGGGAGCGGCAGGCAGCAGCTGGGCTCGGCTTAGCTGATGATTTGCCGAGGTCGGCCGTAGCCTGTCATGCCCGCCTGTGACGCCCCTTGGTTGGACCCCATCTGCAGGCCGATCACATTCTTGCCCTGCTTCAGCTGGCTCTCGGAGAAATCCCGTTTGTTCTCCTGGGCTTTCCTGGAAAGGGAAGATGTGGGTTCACAGTGGAGTAAGAGCAGTTTGGGATTTGGCTAATTGCCATGGCAAACGCTTGCTGCTGCCCCGTGTGCCCAGCAAACTGAATTCCTGCTTTCCTGGCACAAAGGCCACATCTGCAACTAGGAACTGGCAGGGGGAATTGCTTCCTGTGAAGAAAGGTCACTGCGCAAGGAGAGGCTCGCCCTGTAAAACGTGCCCTCTGCAAAGAAGGTGCCAACTGGGACTCTCCCCTTAGAGCTGAGCCGAAAGTCAAGTTCAGGGCATTTGGTGGGTTGCGCTAAGCAGGCCCTTGGGGGCAACTCCTGTTGCCACTTACTTCATGAACCACGACGGGTCTCCACGATAATGCCCATCATTCTTGGTCACAGCCAGGTTGCCCAAGGCCATCAGAGTCCGCTGAACAGCCGCCATATCCTTAGCTGGAAGGAAAAGCAAAGCTGGGTTGAGGGCAGAGCCCCACTTCAGTGAGTCCTTCCATGTTCCCTGCATTCCTCTGTTGTGCGTGTGTGTGTGTGGGGGGGGGATGTGTCACCAAGCTCAGCCTCTGCCAGAGCTTCTGCCGTGCCCAGGAACAGCCATCCAGTAAAAACCCACTGGAACCCCTGGTGCCAGCTTTGGGACTGAGGCTGCCTCTGTTTTGAAAGGAGCCCTCCCTCCGCTGACCAGCCTCACCAGGAAACATCTGCGCATGGGGGTCCCCTAATTTAGCACACTGTTTCTGCTGCCACTTCCACCTCTGCCTCCATTCGCTGAACATGAAACCAGTGGGGACCTTCTTGGTCATGCTGGAAGATGGACTGAGCCCCAACCTTTCTGGGATATGGAGAATAACTTGAATCCTAGCTCTGGAGCAATGGGACAAGGGTGCCCCATCCCCACATCACGGCCTTCCACAGCCCCCACCTTCAAAGAGATCGACCGTCTGGAACATGTCTGTCTTCACCACCCCATAGTCCTCTGCTGCCTTCAGGAAGTGGGCAATTTGCTCCATCTGCTTGAAGACCATGGTGGGAGGAGGATCTGGGATCTTCACAGGCTTGGAGTCACTGGGGTAAAGACTATTGACCAGCTTCCCGAGGACCTGCCAAGGTAGCAAATGAGAGCAGCTCACTGGAAGGGCAGCTAACGCCAGGACTAGACCTGATCCCAAAGACCCCAAGTCTTCCTCTCTCCCCCCCACTCCCCCTTCCAGGCTGGAGGAGGCCACGCCTCCCAAAGCTGCAGAGGACGCTTGATGGCAGGGCCCAAGCCTCTGCCAGGGGTGCCCTGATGCTTACGATGCCATTCTTCAGCCAGACCTGGAAGCCCAGCCTCCCACGCTCGGGGCGCCCCACATCAGCCCCACACTGGGCCACCACCCATTCGACCAGGCGCTCTTCCAGGTCGTCATCATATTTCTTCTCAATCTTGGCCTGGACGTCTCTGCTCAGCCCAAAGGAAGGCCCCTTGTTTGCCATATCTGCAGGAGGAGGGTCTGGGGAGAGAAGAGCAGGCAGGTGAGGCAGAGGCAGCTTTTCTCCCACTGCGGATCCAAGCAGAGGACGATGGGCGGACAGACGGGCAGAGGCGGGACGCCATGCTGCCACAGCAGCTACGGCTTCCATTGGCCTCTTGGAGGCAGGGTGGGTCACAGGGATGCCAGCGTTCCTGCCAGCTGCCTAGTCAGCTGATTTCCTATTACACCATTCCGCCCACAATGGCTGAGTGGGGAGACTTCTCAATCCCCCCCCCCGGCAGGTTTCATGAAGGCCCCTCTGCAGCTACGTCCAGCGAGCACGGGCGCTACGTCTGTCTCCTGATGCTTGCTGGACAGCAGGGCTAGCTGGAGGAAGACAGGACTGGGCGGCCACCAGTCTGCGCAAGCTGGCAAGTGCCAGCCAAGCCGCACAGCTGCTTGTGCCTGTTGCGGATAGGGAGAGAAGCAAAGCGCTGGTAGCAGCAGCAGGTGGATCCTGTACTTCAGCCGCCCCTGTGGCCAAGACAGCCCTGCTTGGCCTAGAGGGTCCACTGAGGCAGTGCCCTTCCCTGCCCCCTCACCCCGGGCAAGGAGGCTGAGGGAACATTTCTGGTTTGGAAGTCCCAGACAGTCGAATGTCAGCGGAGGGCACAGGAACAGGCAGGCGGGGCACGCTCCCACATGCAGCACTCTGGCATCAGGGACATGCAGGCGTTGCCCAGCCATAGCCACCTCAGGCTCAAACTGTGAAAGCAGAGCGCAGGGCTGCAAGTCTGGCACACCAGAATCCAGCCGCTTCGCTGTCTTCCTTCTGCTCCTGCCCAGGAGATCTCCAGCCTGCAGACACTTCCATGCCGCAGCGGCCCAGCCTCGGGGCTTTGGCAAACGCCAGGGGAGGCGGTTGCTTTGCAAATCCTGCCACACCGTCTCCAGTTTCCGTTTCGCCGCCTCAGGTCCCCCCAAAGCTTTGCGTGAATTCCATGTTTCCCAAGTCCTCCCGGCCAGGGCAGCAGGACCCTGACTTGGCCAGGAGATGCAGCCGGCACAAGCGCATCCCGGACACGTTTCCCGCGGCCACAGCAGGCCAGGCTGGGCTGCCTGCGGAGTGATCCAGGGATGCCTCGGGCAGCACCGAGAGCGAGCACCCGAACGCGAGGGCCTTCTGCCCTTGGCCAGCCTGCAAAGGCAGCGCCCCACTTCCAGTTCTGCCGCTCCCCCGCCTTCCAAGCAACCTGGCGAGCTCCCCTCCTGCGCAACCACAGCCGCCCCCGACTGGCCAGCGCTCCTCTCTCTTCCAGCATGGCAGATGCTCCATTTGGATCGGGAACACAACTCAGAAGAGCCTCGGGCACGGAGCAGGCCGGGGAAGACCCATCAGCCCCAACCCTTCTTGCTGGAGCCGCATCACTCCTCGCTCTGCCCACCTTGGGGACCGCTCCAGATGGCTTGAGTTTGGCCAGCAAAGCGGCCCAGATGCCCCAGGGCAGCTCCTCCCTGCTCAGCCGCCCAGCTCAGCCGCCCGTATCGCCCCCTCCCTGGGACCCAGAGAGGCACTTACGAGCTGCGACTCCGAGGGTCCCCAGATGCTGCTCTGCCCGGGACTCTGCAGCCAGAGGCGGCTGGGTGGGGGGGCTAAAAAGCCCCAGCCCTCCGGCCCATGACATCACCCTGGTCCTCCCCCTCAGCCCAGGAGAGCCAATTCTCGGTGGCCGAAGCCACGCACCATATTTGGGGAAAGACTCCAAAGGCGGCCAAGGAGCCACCGCCTCAAGACATTCCCGGCATGCCTGAGTCCCAGCGGATGTTTTGCCCAGGCTGGCCCAGCAGCAGCCAGTCCTTTTTAGGCCGGCTCTTCCCCGGCAAGGCGGGCCAGACCCAACTTCAATGTTGCTTCCCTGATGAGGTCACCGAGGGGAGCTTTGGGGTGCAGAGGGAGGACCCATAGCGGCATGTTACTCGTGGCCACCCTGCATTTATTGCAGTCTGACCCTGAAGGCGAGGCAGGCCGCTCTGCCTGGCGGATGGAAAGAAAATTGGGGGTCCTGGAGGAGAGGGCTGAGCTAATGTCACCGCATCTCCATTGGAGTGTGTTTGGTAGGGACCCCCCACCCGCAGATCTCAAGCAGAAGCAGAAAAGGCACTCCCTCTCTCTGCCCACAGAGCAGCTGTGCCCCCCTTCTCCCGGCCTCCACATTCAAGAAAAACGGCGAGGCAAGGCGAGGCGAGGCGAGGGCATCTTTTATCGCTTGCATTGGGCGGCAGGATCTGTAGAGGCCAAAATGCTCGTTTTCTTCAGCAGCGCTTTATACTGGGAACCGTTTCAAAGGAAAACCATCTCAGCTGCAGTCCGAAACCAGGAATGGAGAGATGGGGGGGGGGGGCTGGTCTTCTCCCTCGAGGGGAAAAGAGGGGCACTCTGCTGCTTCCTCCCCCTGCCAGCCTGACCTTTCTGATCTTCTCTTGCTCCTCCCCCACATGCAGCCCCTGCGTTACGGTGACTGCTTGAGGAAGCCCCTCCCCAGGAAATGAGGGCTGGCTTGCTCTGGGGCCAAAGCCAGGGAGGTGCCCCAGGGACCACTCAGCCCCACAGACTGAGACCCCCTGGCCCACTTCCTCCCCATAAGCGATGAAGTGCATCGTGCCCGTGTGCTGGAGGAGGAGGAGGAGGTGCCCCTCTGCCTGGATGCTGCTGCCAGTGCTGGTGGGCAGAGGGCTCCTAGTGGCCGCTGCTCCTTGGAACCAAGTGCCAGACCTCCTTGTTCAGAGGAAGGAGGCAGCTGCACTGCAGGGGAGGGCCCTCAGGCTGTCAACGCAGGCACCGAGAAGAGAGAGCGCCGTGGAAGTTTCCCAGGGCCGCCCCACTGCACAGGAGCCCAGCCTGTCGCTGTTCCTCTCCGCGCCTCTCCCCAGAGTTGCTGGCAGTGCTGGACCCCAACAGGAAGGCCTTTTCTCTCCACCTGCCAGGCCTTGCCCGGGGGAGGGAGCTCTGCCGATGGTCGAGAAAGGGAGACCAACAGCTCCCGACAGAGGCGTAGCCCAGGTAGCATTTGAACGCGTCGCCCTGGGCCCCCGGGGCCAGCTCTCAGAGGCTCAAGACAGGAAGGTCCTCGGACAGGCCCTCGTCAACCCTGCTCCCTTCTGCGGGCTCTCCTGTGATGTGCTTGTGAGGGGAGGAGCCCGCAGCTGTGCCCCCCGGCACCCGCCAGATGCCGTCAGGACGCCTGTCCCGAGAAAGGTCTCCGGCTTCTCTGCCAAGGCGTCTCCAAGTGCCCCTCAGAAGACGTAAATCTTGTCACGCTGGACACAGTCGAGGTCGTCATCCAAAGTCAGCAGGACCTACGGCAAAGGGAAGGTGGCATCAGGCACAGGCGCTGTAGGGCAGGGTGGACGGTGGATGCCGGCCACAGACCAGTGCGTGGGGGCCAAGAGGCTCCACTCCCGTGCTTTGCTCTGGAGGGAGAGGGAACCTTTGCGAGCATCCTCCAGTCACAAGGCCCTGGGAGCCCTGGAGCTTTTTTCCAACAGCAGCCAAAAATGTATTTTGCCCCCCAGGCTTTAGGTACGCAGCATTCTGCTGACTGCTTCCTCCTCCTTCAGATCTTTCTTCTTTGCATGCCAAAGTTTAATTCATGTTGCAACCTTCCCCAAAGGATGTTGACTAAGCGGCAGATTAAAGCTAACTGTCTGAGAGGTCTGAAAGAGGGCCAGTCTTGCCAAGGAAATGGCCTCTGGGCTGGAGGGCAGGACATGTCCCCCAGGTTGGAGAAGGGCTGCAGGACAGATGTAGGGAACCCCTAGCATCTGTCTGAGCCCAGGGAATCAGGAAGCCCCAAGCCTGGCCCAGCCCCTCCGGCAGGAGCCCAGAGCTTCTCCCCGCACATCTGACACAGGACAAGCCCCCACAACTACCGAGAAAGGGCACCCGCAGGACTGATCGGGTAGCGGAGACGCAGTGCTTTCAAGCTCCCGGTCCTCAGGGTGTTGGGCTTCAGGCCGCTGCAGGGGCTGCCCATGCCACTCTCCCCTACCAGGGCAGCCGAGCCAGCTGGAAACACCCACCAGGAAGGAGCCAAACATGGCGATGGAGGAGAGGAAGTGCCAGACATCGTGGTCGTCAAAGAAACCCAGCAGGATACACTCTCGGTTGTGCTCACGGGACTCGGCTGGCGTTTTCTGTGGAGATCAGTGACCAGCCTCTTAGCGGGGGTGGGCAGCAGGGCAGGTTGGCCCCCACCCCGACAGACCCGGCCAAGCGCAGGGCAGGCTGACTTTTCAGCAGGCTTTTCTCAGGAGCTGCTCGCGCAGCCCCTCCGTGCAATCACTCCAAAGCAGCCGTTTTTCTGAATTTGCACAGCACAGCATGGTGAACCAGTGTGCAGACCGAGCCCTCGATGCAGCCTCGAGGAGCGCTCTTGGCAAGCAAGGAGCCCAGCCCCCTCTGGCGGATGGAAGAGGCTGCAGGCTGCTGCTCCCCCCGCGGGCCCTGGGGAGGGAGGATGGCTCACCTGCCAGGTGCTCAGGCCCTGGAAGAAGAAGAAGAGAGCGAAGCCCCACACGACGGAGGTGCAGACGATGCAGAGCAGGGAGATCAGCAGCAGACGCTCGCCGCTCCGCAGCTGCGGGGAGGGTAGCGGTCAGGAGGGCAGCCCGGGGGTCCTGTCAGGGCACCCAGGGGCCGGTGCTGCAGGACCCCCACGCCCGCTAGAGAGAGGAGCGACCGGCAGCCCAGCCACCGACACCCTGCCAGCCGCGGCAGAAAGGCGACGGTACCTTCATGATAATGTAGAAGGCAAAGTAGAGCAGAAGGTTGCAGATGCCGATGGCCAGCAAGTAGGAGGCGAAGTCGTTGGGGCGCATAATGAGGCCGTAAGCCGCCCTGGGGAGAGAGGAGGGTCGGGCGCGGCACCAGACCCGGCTCCAGGCCAACCGCAAGCCCACAAAGCGGGGCTGCCTAAGCCTGCGACTCCCGGCGAGAGTGCTCGGAGCAGGAGTTAATCCCAAGGCAGGTAAGGCAAGTTTAGAGCAGGAAGAAGCCGCCCTATAAAGCAGCCGTTCCTGCCCCAGAGGTGAGCAGAAATTCTTAGTCTCTTCTTTGACACGCTGGGAAGGGAGGGAGCTGGACGGAGGGTGGCCTGGGGAGCTTGCCTGGTCTGGCCCCCTGCCCCTTGGCCCAAGGGCTGAGCTCGGCTGCAGAGGGGGCCCTGTCCAGCTGGTGGCCCCCCTCCAGGGCAGCTGCGCTCGGCCCAGACGCTCTTACTCACAGGGACCAATTGATGAGGTTACCCGTCACCAGCAGCACCATCCGATCCTGCGGACAAAAGCGGGGGGGCAGTTGGTGAGGCCTCCAGAAGCGGCCAAAAAGAGGGGAGGTGCCAGCCCCCCGCTCACCATGTACGTGGGCCCGCTGCACTGGCGGATGCAGTCCGTGTACAGCACGTGAAAAATCCTGCGCCAGGTGCCGGAATCTGGAGAGGGATGGAGATACTGAAGCCCCCTGGAA